CATCTGTCCGGGCGCTGCGGTTGCAGTGCATGCTGGAAGATGTAGTCTTGCTGGGGTGCACCTCCATATTAAAAAAAAAAAGAAGGGTGGCTCCATTTTATTCAAATTGGGTTCAGCCTTCTCCCTCCTGGCAGCTCGCCGGCGCCGTCCCGCTTGGCCCCGGGAGCCACCGAAGTTCTCCCGGCGCCTTGTGCGAGCGAGGAGGCGGGAGCGCTGCTCCTCCATTCAAAATCTTGCTTAATTCCACATTGAACAGCTTGTTTTGAAGCCCTGTGCTTCGGCGTGTTTTGCAACAGCTCGGACTCCCGCCGGGCGAAGGCGGTTGAGGGATCCTGCCCCCGTTGGGTGGCAGTTCTGGAGGGTGTCATGGTAAATCTCCTTTGTCTGCTATGGCTTGACTGATGTATGGGGGAGAGCGAACCCTCCTCCCCTGCGTGATTTCTTGAGCTGAAAGCAGCAAGTGAGTGAGGAAGCTCCTTTGTGCAGATTTCTCCGTCTCCTCTTGTGCGTGCCAGCTGGCTCGCGTTCAACATTTCTCTTTTTTTCTCTCTCTCTTTTCTTTTTTTTTTTTCCTCTCTCTCTCTCTCTCTCTCTCTCCCCCCCCCGGAGGGAGGGGGCGGGGAGAGAGGGGAACATCTTAAAAAGAAATCTGCAGAAAAGACATGGGAGTTACTTAACAAAAATCCAACCCAAACAAGCCCAGCTGGGGGATTACAAACGCGGTGGTAGGAGCCGAGCGGGGAGCGAGTGTGGCAGCTCGGGAAAGGGAGGCGCGTTTTTTCTTCCTCCCCCCCTTCTCCCCCAGCCCCGAGTTTCTTTAGTCGTAAAAGGAAACAAAAAGGGATCTTGTGCGGAGGCAGCGTATGGGGAGAGCTGCCGGCTGGTTGCCAGCGGCGGGAGGAAGGGCCTCGGCACCACGGCCCCTCAGCGGAGCGGGGCCGAGGGCTCCTGGGGAGCCCTTTTGGGGGTCTCGGCAAGCGGTGGGGTGGGGGGGACACAGCATCTCTTCCACGGATGCTCTCCTCTGGCTGCCGGCGCTGCCTTTGCCTCCTCCTGGGAAGGAGCGGAGGGGATCTCTTTGCTCTCCTGCTCAGGACAAGCATCTCACCAAAACCCTCTGCTCCCTGCCTTGTGCCCCGCCGGAGGAAACGCCGCGTCCTGGAGAATTTATTCCTTCCCCCCCACTGCACCCCCTCCAACCTCCGTCATCTTTGCCGCTCCTTCTTGCGGGCATTCCTTTTTTTTTACATGGGTATGAGACAGTCTCCCTACGTGTGGGCTGGGTGTTGCCAGGAGAAGAGCTTTCTCCTGCATCTCGCCGCCCTTGGGCGTTCAGTCCTTCCCCGCTTTGGTTTCTTGGCCTCCGGTAACCGGTAGAGAAAGCCGGAGTGGCGCAGGCTCGGCGGGTTTGCTTCCGAGCATCCTGCGCGTGTTTCAGCACAAAGAGCTGGGGGCTCCTGCGGTTTCCTCGCTCCCTTTTTTTTTTTTTTTTTGAAGGCGAGCTATTCTGTTTGAATAGCTTTCTCTAGGTGTGTTTGCAGCTCCGAAAGTGAACTTTCAGGTTTGTCTCTTCATAGGGTTGGCTCTGTCCCAGCCCATAGATGTGGATTGTAGAGGTCTCGGGCACCTAATGGAGCTGAATTATTCATGTCTGGTGCTGCCGTGTGTGCAGCATTCCCAAGCAGAAAGCTGTCTCCTTGCAGGATCTGCGCTCCAGGACTGCTCTTAAAACGCTTTGTTGGCAGGTCTCCAGGCCAACAAGTGAGCACATGCTTTTCATGTTGCGCGGGGATCAATCCTGCGATGGCAGGAGGTAAGGGGAAGGACACGTTTATAGCTGAATCAATCTCTTCGGTCTGTTTTCTGAGATGCTGTGATTTGTGGTTCTCCCCCTCCCTCCCTCCCCGGCAGGAGAGCAAGAAGGGTCTGGATAGCACCCAGTGCTTCTCCAGCTGGGGCAAACCAGGCGGTGGGAAAGAGACCTCCATCTCTGGACTATGGGCTGTGAAAACAAGTGGTCCCATCTACCCGAAATAGCAACAGCGTGGCAGGTCAGGGGTCCCCGGCGGTCTCGCTCGGGAAAGGGACCTGTAACGCACCTCTGTCTGCAGAGGTTGAGCCTGTGAGAGTGGCTCTTTGGAGAAATGGGGAATTGGGATGGGGATTTTGGAGAGGAGGTGTTTGAGCTGCAGGAAATGCTTTAGAGCCACGTGCAATGGATGACTTGCAGGGGATCCCCCAAGATTGCGTACCGGGGTCGTAGCCTTCAGCCCCAGGCTGGAAAGGGCCGATCCCTGGCCCGGTCCCTCTTCCCGTGGTGGCACGTCTCGAGCTCCCTGCCCCGCTCTCGGCACGACGTGTCTTTCCTCTGCTCTTGTAAATCCCACCTGGTCTCGTCTGTCCTGTTTGCGGTTCCCTTCCCTCTGCATTAGCAGAACTTGGGCTCCCTTGGCGCCTCCTCCGTAGGGTGAATGTTTTTTCTCCTCTTGTTTTCTAACTCTTTGATTGTTCCTGGCTCTCTAATCTCTGGGGACGCAGCGGACTTCTGGGCTCCTTCTTCCTTTTGTTGTGGTAGGAATTGGCAAACGCTGCTGCTGTTTGCATAGTTTCAGACCAAAGTCCTGCTCATCTGCTCTCCTTATTTCGTATATATAAATAATACTTATGTATATGTGTGTGTGCATGTCTATATGCGCACTTAAAACAGCAAGGTGAGTTCCCCGGTGTGAGCTGAGAGCCAGCCAAGCCGGCGTCGTGGAGGCGTTGTGTGGAGCAGGTGATGCTGTGCCTGTCGCAATATAGCCCTGCGGATTGTCCGTCGCCTTCCTGCGACTGTGGCGCCGGATCCTGCTCCATCTGTCCCTCTGAAGTGAGCTCGCCATCACCCTCTGCGTGTTCCAGCCTTGGAGACTGAGCCTCGTCCTCTCCTGGTAGCTCACGTGTGTGTTGGTCCTGCGTGGCAACTCCGTCTGCCTGAGCCCTGTCCGGCGAGGTTGTAGCTGGACGCTGTGCCTCAGCTTTGGGTCGGGAAAGGGCTGTTACCAGCTAAAAATCTGGTTCGTCCACCTTGTTACCGGCTTTGCCCATCCGGACAAAGGAATCGCTGGCACAAAGGGAGCTGGCTGCAGCAACACGCGCCGGCTGGGGAGGTCTGCGCCGTGCAGAGATGGATGGTCGGTGCCGATCACCGGCCCCATCGGTGGTCCGGAGAGGGGCTCCGGAGCGGCAGATCGGTGGGGTCAGGCTGGACACCCCGGCTGGGGGCTGGGGAGCGGGTACTGGGGCAGGAGGAGAAGGAAGAGGAGGAGGAGGCAAGAGAAACACGCGGTGTGGCTTTGGGAAGCCGTTAGCGACTCCGGTGCACAAAGTGATCTCCTGATTCGGCACTTTCTCTGCCGCTGAAATGAGAGGTCAGTGCTTTTCATTTCCAGCTTGCATGCTAGCCCCCGGCTCCTGGGGTTAAAAATCTCCGTAATGACCTGTCAGAGAGCGGATTATTAGCTGTACAGAGCCGAGGATGCTGTGGGGAGCAGATGGAAAATGGTCTGGCTGCGGCAGCCTGTCTGATGAAAGAATCCCTGGCATTTTTACAGTGTTTGCATCTCTGGAAACGCACCATGAAGCTGCTTTCCAGGCTCCTGCCTGCTGGGGTTTGAAAAAATTTCTGCGTGTATGGGGTTTTTTTTTGTTTTTTGATTTTTTTTTTTTCTTCTTCTCATTTCTCTTTAAGTCACCTGTTTTTTGAAGTGTTGCTTGTAAATAGTACCAGGAGCCGGCAGGCCCGGAGCTCGGCAGGGAAGGGGAGGACAGCGCTGCCAGAGAGGAGCTTCATCCAAATGGGTGGCCAAGGATTTCTTAAGAGATCTGGAGAGCGGGCGGCTGGGCCGAGGAGCTGGCCGGGTGGCTGCTGGGAAGAAGCTGTTTCATGTGTTAATTATGTCTCGTCAGTGTAATTGCCACGAGCTAATCTCAGCGAGTGACCTCTGCGCTTCTTCGGGTTGCGCGTGGGTGTCTTTTTTTTTTTTTTTTTTTCTGTCTTTTTTTTTTTTTCTGTATTTTTCCCCCCCTGTGTCACTGCCTCCAGGGATGGGACAGCCTACAATGCATCTGAGAGCAGGCAGGGCGAGGGGCTGGGAAGCCGGGAGGAGAAATTCTGGGCACACCGGGGTCAGCCATGACGTGGGCAGGTAGGGCCGGTCCCTCTCTTCCCAGTTAAGACCAGGTACCTGTGCAATTTCCCGTCCTTCAGAGCGGCTCATCGCAGTGGAGGTGACAGTGCTTTAGCATCCTAAAACCGAGTGCCATATTGTGCTGCCTTGAGGTTTGGGATGGAAACCCGGCGCTTTCCGCTGCCATTTGGCCTTCGGCGACCGCTCTGATGCGTCCAAGTGTGGCAGGCTCTCTGAAGCTTGGGATTTATTTCCCACTGAGGCACTTGGACTTCCCCAGCGAATGGCTCTCGTCCCTCGCAGTGAGGCTGGAGTGGAGAGGGGCCCTCCCCCCGGGTGGCATCGGCAGGAGAGAAATCAATCCTCCCTCCCAGGGGCAGCGCTCGATAATTCAGAGGGAAATGGCGAGCGGGGAAACGTGTGAGTAATGTCTTGTTGGAGCCGAGAGCTGTGACCTGCCAGGGCTGGTATTGATCGAGGGACGGGTGCCAGATGGCTGCTGCTGCGGGGACGGCCGCGGAGCAGCCCCCGGCCTGGAGGAGGTGGCGGGAGGATGCTACCTCGCACCAAGCAACGGGGAATTTGGGAGTTTGGGGGCTTTCACCCTACCCAGGACTTCTCCTGCCTGCATGTGTGGCTGCTGATGAAGGCAGATCTGCCTGCCCGGGGCTCCTCATGTGTTGTAACCCTGTTCTCTTTGCTCTCCCTTCCAGCAGCGATGCCGTCACCTGGGCAGACCCCGACCGCTGGAAGCCCCCCGAGGACGTAGGTGACCCCCAGGGCGTGGAGGCAGGGAAGAGCCTTGAACCGTGAGGGGCCGTTAACTCTAAGATGTCCTTGAGCAGCGGAGCTTCCGGAGGGAAAGGAATCGATGCGAACCCGGTTGAGACGTACGACAGCGGGGATGAGTGGGACATTGGCGTAGGGAATCTCATCATTGACCTGGACGCTGATTTGGAGAAGGATCAGCAGAAATTGGAAATGTCGGGCTCCAAAGAGGTGGGGCTCCCGGCACCCAACGCGGTGGCAACCCTACCGGATAACATCAAGTTTGTGAGCCCGGTGCCGGGCCCTCAGGGCAAGGAGGGCAAATCCAAGTCGAAAAGGAGCAAGAGTGGCAAGGACAGTGGCAAACCAACCCCAGGGACCTCCTTGTTCACTCCCAGCGAGGGAGCTGGTGGCAAGAAGGAGGCTCAAGGACGCTCTGGGGATGGCGCGAACTCGGGCGGCTTGGTGCCCGCCGTCACCCCGAAGGGCTCGGAGAAATCGGCCAAGGCGTCTCGCAGCGTGGCCGGCTCCAAGAAAGAGAAGGAAGGCGGCTCATCCAAAAGCAAGAAGGAAAGGAGTGAGGGTGCGGGGGCTGCGGCGGAGAAGGAGCCCAGCGTGCTGCAGCCCCTGGCCCTGGCAGTGAGGGTGGGACAGTATGATGGGGGCCAGGGGACAGAGCCTGCTGCTGCCGAGCAGCTTGGGAGTATAGCTATCGACACGGGAGCTGCGCTCAATCCCTTGGGAGTTAAGTCGGAGCTGGAAGATGGGGAAAATGAGTGCCGGCAGCTGAAAAAGGTGAAGTCGGAGAAGGTAAGAAAGATGTTGGGGGTGTGGGAGGAGGTGGTGTTGCCGCTTGATTCCAGATGTATTGATGTGGGTGACGAGGGAGCGGGAGCTTACATCGGGACCGCGCGTCTTGCGCCCTCGGGACCAGTGCTGATGGATGGCTGGTGCCTCCTGGTTTGGCCGTGTGATGTGCCAGGGTCCAGATGCGGCAGTGGGAGGGCACTGGTCAAGCTGTGCTTCTGGGAACCATGCACCAGCACATCGCCTGCAGTCGCTGTGCGTCAGGGTACCGTCCTGCTGTACCCTTGGAGATTTGGTTTCTTCAGTGCCGCGGCTGTGCCGAGTGGGTCCAAGCCTCTCTGGCTCCTGTCACTCTGTGGGAGGAGCCTGGGCTGGCAGTGAAGGTGATGTCCCGGTCCTGTGCCCGCTCCAGCTCCTGACGGGACAGAGCAGTGTCTGCTGGCTGCCGTACTCGGCTTCCCGGTGGCTTCATCTTGTGTGTCAAAGCTACTTGGAGTTCCCAGAGGAATTTATTTCTCTTTGGTTGCATCATTTGCGGAGAAGGAGACCTTAATGTGTTGGTAAATGTGGGATCTGCGTGGGTGCGCAGGCAAGCACAAGGTGCGGGGTTGACAGGAGTTACCGCCTCGTTTCTTGGTCTGCCGTTGGTACGTGGGTTTTGTCCCACTTCAGTGACGACGAGCCTGGGGCCAGCGGGTTGCTGTGGGTGATTTTTTTTTTTTTATGTGTCACTCCTCTGCAAACACGCAGCAGTGATGGTGAGCCAGCGAAGCTGCTTCTCCAGGTCACCGGGGGTGTGAAAAGCCCAGCTGATGGGGTGAACGGCCGTCTGTCTGTCTGAGTGGCGTTTGGCTCTGGGCGGCCATGCAGCCGTTTCTGGATATGGCCGCCGGAACGGCAGCTCGATTAGGTTGTTTTTTAGTAATTGCGGTGGCTGATGTGATTTCTGTGGGCAGATGGGGGAAGAGTTTGAGTGTGTAGAGATCTTTGCGCTTGGAGCAGAAGCTCTTCCACACTACCTGCATGTGTGGTGTCACCGGTTCGTGCCCGGGAAGCCGCGCGTTTGCGTGCAAGGGGTGAACATCACGAGCGTGTGCATTCGGGGTGGCTCAGCGCTATTGCCGTCACCACGTGCTGTGGTGTCGGGAGAGCGGCTCGGGGGGTATCGGGTGTGCGTCGCCATGTTTGCAGCCGACAGCTCCCCGGCAGGGTTTCTGCTTTGGTGTGGGGATCGCCCATGCTGGGTGCCGGGAAGGGATAAAGGAATGGGTGTGGAGCGCTTGGTGGATTTAGGAGAGTTGCTGAGACCAGCGAGATGTTGGAGAGAGTGGTTTGGTTTTTTTAATTTCCATCCACAAAAAGATGGAGCACATACAGAGAGAAGAGTGGTGGGGATGGTCGGTCATGGGATGGCTCTGGGAGAGGAGCTGCTAAGTAGGTCAGTGCTTCCTCCGCTGGAGGGAAAGACTCCTGGGGCAGGCGACTGAAGCCTGTAAAATGAAGGGGTGGCGTGAAGATGATGTGCTGTTTCCTCATCTTTCCCAGCAGCAGAACCAGAGTGAAGGAAACCGGGAAGAGGAGCAGATGCTCTTTTGCATGATGGACTCGAATGCTGCTGCAAAAAGCTGTGGATGCTGAAAGTTCATCGATGCTCTGGGGCATCTGGGTGGGTTTGTGGAGGAGGAACCCATCAAGGGGGAGTTGTCTTCGGCTTGGGAAAAGCCCAAGGAAGGTTGGAGCTTGGGAAGTAGTTTGGGTAGTATCTTGATGTGCTTGTTGTGTTCCTTCTGCTGCTGGTGGCTGTCAAAGCCATCACGGGGGCTGGCTGGACCTTTGCTCATACTCTGTATTTCCTGTGTTTTTACTGTTAAGGTTTCTTACTATTAAGACTTCTTTCTTTCACGGATTTAGCTGCAGAAACCCTCTGCAGATAGACATGCCAAAGCAAAGAGGGGATTATGAAGACAGGGACCAAACATCGTGAACCTTGACTGCCTGGAGGAGTGGGCCCATGTGAACCTCCTGAAGTTCAACCAGGCCAAGTGCAGGTCCTGCACCTGGGTCGAGGCAATCCCCACTATCGGTGCAGGCTGGGGGGTGAATGGGTTCGGAGCAGCCCTGCAGAGAAGGACTTGGGGATACTGGTGGGTGACAAATTGGATATGACCCGGCAATGTGCACTTGCAGCCCAGAAAGCCAACTGCATCCTGGGCTGCATCACAAGCAGCGTGGCCACCAGGTGGAAGGAGGTGATTCTCCTCATCCACTCCACTCTGATGAGACCCTCACCTCAGTTATTGGGGGCTTATAAGAATTTTTACCAGGGCCTACAGTGACAGGACAACGGGTAACGGTTTTATACTGAAAGAGGGTATGTTTAGGTTGGACATAGGGAAGAAACATTTTATGATGAGGGTGGTGAGACACTGGAACAGGTCATTCGGAGATGATGTGGGTGCTCTCTGTGGTTGGAAGTGTTCAAGGTCAGGTTGGATGGGGCTTTGAGCAACCTGGTGTAGTGAAAGATGTCCTAGCCCATGATATGGGGGTTGGACTTAGAGGATCTCTGAAGGTCCCTTCCAATACAGACCATTCTATCATTCCATATGGATATCCCCTGAGGATGGTTCTGCCATTTTACTTGTTCAGATTCAGTTACAACCACATCGATGAAGGCTCAGCCTGGAGGGTTGAGCCCTGTTTTGAGGAGTGGTTTAAGGTTTGGATCTGCAGGAGAACATTTCAAGTTTGGGCTCAGGAGAAAACATCGGCCATGTTTTGTCAGCCTCCTAGAGGCAGCTAGATGGCTTCCTTCTGGTTGGGGAAGCCATGGGTGAGGAGAAGAAAGGTGGCTGTGTGGTGAGGGGTGGGAAAACAGTGTTATTCCTTGAAGAAGAGCCCAAGGATGGGCCAGTGACAAGGGCAGGGTGGAGGATGGAGGTGAGCAGCGGCGTTGCGCTGTTCCTGTCTCCTGAAAGCCTCAGAGATGCTGCTAAATGGACTCTGGAGGACAAGCGGAGAGCGGAGGTACGTGCTGGCCGTGGGAGGGCAGTTCCTTCGGCGAGTGTGTTGGGGGGACGAAGGGGACAGGTTCCTACAGGCCTGGGGACAAACCCTGCCTGGGAAGCCAGAAACTTGCTCAGACCGAAACAGGAACGGCCACAACGTGACTCAGCCCAACCTTTGGTCTCCGACAACTTGTCCTCTGCTTAACCCTGCGCTGCTCCCGCTTCCGTCTCAGGCAGGGAGGCTGGTCTCCATTTGGGGATGGAGAAAGAGAGAGACCATTTCTCCCTCCACCGGCTTCAGCCCAGGGTAGGTGACCTCCCCGTGTATACGTGCACGCTGAGCAGTCAGCCTCCAGCCAGGAGGTTTTGTTGTACCTCCTCGGCTGGATTAAAGAGCACTGTAGCAGCGAGTATTTTTTCCTTGATGAGGTGCTTTGGTGCCACAGTCAGCTTGCCATTTGCCCCTCCTTCTCCTTTTGTGCTCTTCAGATATCTCACTGGAGGGTTGTGCAGCCCTCGGCTTCTCGCTGGGTGTAGGAAAGAGCTTTGCTTTGGGTTTTTTTCAGACACCCTTTCATGTCGGCAGGTGCTCGAGCTGGCGCGGTGTCCGTGGGTGAGATCACCCTTGCTCCCATGTCTGACATCACAGTGATGGAGCCTGTGGACATGGCCCATGGGCTCGGTGGGAGGTGTTTTGCCGGAGTGACCCCATGGCTCTTGTGGTCGCTGCTTCCTGGGGTGAAACCTTGGGCACCGAATATCCCAAACCCTATTCTCTAGGCACGTTTCTTGGCTCTATCCAGGCTTCTGTTGTGGCGTGCCCTGGCTTGTTATGTACCCTCCTCGAACCCCATGCCACCGGTGTGTTGGGACACAAACGATAACTTTGCCAGGGATGGGGCTGATCATGGTGAAGTCCGTTGGCAATAACCCTGCTGAGACCTTCCAGGGTCTCTGGGGTGGGCTGAGCACTGAGTGCAGGTTTCCCTCAGGCTGTGGTTCGGCACCTGCGCAGCTCCTTGCACCAGCCTGTGCTGCTAGAGCCCCAAAAGATATTTTTTGGGGGGGAGGCAGGAGCGGGAGCTTAATATTTCTTGCATCAGGTAGTGAAGTGAAGCTGTGCTGATGCACCCGTGTCCGGAGCGTGTGGACCAGCAACGGGGTCCGTCCCCGACCTGATGGACAGCCAGCCATGGGGTCACTGGGGATGGCCAGAGCTGAGCTGGGACTTAGTCTGGGGGCTGGGGGGCACTGGTGTTTGGGAGGGAACGGCCGCT